GGAAATGGGCTTGTGTAACTTCCTGTCCAGCTGGCGAGATCCCTGTCAACAGGAGCCGCACAGCCACGTGCCTCCGTAGCTGCATCCCCGCAAGCTGGACCATCAGGGGTCATATGTCTTGCAGAAATGTCCCCGCAGCCAAATCTGACCTTTACACTTCCCCATCCTCGTCTGACTCTGTAAGCTTTGTTTTTATCAGGCACTTTGTGACGTGACTGACATCAGTGGGACTTTTCCAGCACGATTGAGCATGGCTGCCTGCCACTCTCGCTTCCATTGTCCGACGTTTCTGGCATATTTGCGCATAACTGTTGACATACTAACTAAGCACCTGTGTCTGGCTCTTCTCACACTGACCAGGCGGATGGCGATGACCCCACCTGGCACGTAGCGCCTCTTCGGTAAGGCTCTCTCGCTTTCTGTGACCATTTCACCTCTCCTCCATCTCAAGGGGATTGAGTGGGATTTTGGCTGACCCCATTAGGCAGAGAAGGATTGGAAAACCTCAAAAACAGAGGATGGGTGCAGGAGGGGGCGGTTGGATGCCCCCAAAGTAGGTGGGGGCCTTTTCAGATGATTTTCTGAGGAGTATAATCCCTGTGGTATAGCGGTGTGGGGGGGTGAAAAGGCCGGCAGGTCACTGAGCCATCAGCACTGCTGATCTCAAGAAAGAACATCAAGGCTTATTCGGGGGTGGGGGGGTGGAGTGTTTTATTTATTTGGTCCAATTAGGGCAGGATGATGACCTGACTGGCCTGAGCCTGTCTCAGTATCTCCCCTAAATAGCACATCACTCACCCCCTCTAGAGCCTCTGGGGGCCTCCTGCCTCACACAGAACCTCAAGGGACAGATCCACTGCATCTGCATCCCGCTGCCTCCAGCATTTAGCCTTGGCCCGACAGAGCAAGCATGCTGTGATTTTATGAGCGTGGCCGAGGCCGCCTTCTGCGCGGTGTGATTTTATGGGCGAGGCCGCGTTCTGCGCGGTGTGATTTTATGGGCGAGGCCGCCTTCTGCGCGGTGTGATTTTATGGGCGAGGCCGCGTTCTGCGCGGTGTGATTTTATGGCCGAGGCCGCGTTCTGCGCGGTGTGATTTTATGGCCGAGGCCATGTTCTGCGCGGTGTGATTTTAGGATTTTATGATGTTAAATGGCCTCAGAAGTGAGCTCCCCACCCCCCCCCCGCTTGGTGTGCAGTGAACTGTATCTCCTCCTACTATATTGTGTTGCACACTGCTGTGCATATTCCACTTCTGCACTTATCAGTATGGTGAATAATACTTATTGCTTTTATTTACTGTACTGCAGTCTATTTGTGTATCCTTATCCCAAGTGCATCCTATGTATTACTTTGTTATTGGCCACTTCACTTATTCTCATCTGACACTGTCTTACTCTCACTGAACTACAAGCGGTTTAAGGGCCCTGTCTGGAAGCTGGGAGATATGTTCAGTGAAATTTCTCTGCCTGTCATTTCCCCCCTTGAGCTGATATTTGCCGTCTGTTGACAGGGAACACATCTACACGTGTCATCGTAACGACATTTATTTATTATGATTGATTAGGGTAGCAGTACTCCTACACCTGGCAGGGGTCTCCCCTCTAAATGTGCGCCTCCTCCTCGCTCCAGGCTCCCCCTGGGCTGGCTTCTCCTCCTCACTGAGCCGCAGAGTCATAAAAAGGGCGCATTAACGTTTATAGCCTTGTGCCCTGCCGCTGCAGACATCAGTCTGCTGCCTGCTGTCTGCTTTTATTTCCTGAGTAGATTCTTGCAGTGGCAGTGCATCGAGCTTCGTAAATGGGGGGATGGGACTCGGGCTACAGCCCTGGGGTCGGCAGCATATCTCCTCTGAAAAATGCGTATCTGTGTTTGTTTACGGAGCGACAGTACAGTGGTGTCCGCAAACTAAATGGCCACAGCCGAGGCTGGCAGGCGGTCTCTCCTCTGAATTGGACCGCTTCAGGACCTGTGTGGGACCTGCAGATCTAGGTGTTCATTGCCTGCGTTTTCATTGGTCGACACCGGTCAGTCAACAGTCAAAGCAGACAATGTGTTCCTAGAAGTTCTAGATTGCAGCTGTATTATTTATTTATCAAGAAGAGGGACATCTAACCCTTTGGAATGAAACATACAAAGGGAAAACTTTAAAATACAGAACATATATTTACCCCAGTCACACTGTGCAGTCGTGTGGTTGGCTTTGCCCATATTTGCTCGTCGATGAGCGGGCCAGTAGCTGAGCTCCAAATTTGGCAGGCTAAGAGGGTCCGCACACGACACTTCAACATACGGTAGATCCTTCTAGGACTTCTTACTATTCAGTAACACTCAGCTATAATCAGAGAGACCTACTTGAGTAACAAAGGAAGGACACCTAAAAATAGAAACTTGTAAGCAGATGAATGGGCTCCCTGATTTGGGGGTTTCTGGGTTTGTTGCGCCCTGCTGCTCTTTAGCATGTGGCACAGGCCCACTGGATCAAAGCTGTGCTGCACTGTAGGCCCTGCACTCTCCATTTAAAAGGACTCTTTCTCCTGAGATCTCCCATTGGCTGTTGCCATGATACCTGCCTTCTGACAACTCTTATTGTGATGTCATAAGGCAAAGAAAAGGCATCTCTGATGGATGAACAGGAATCCCACTGTCAGATATTACTCCTACATGCACCAGCCTTGCATCATGCTCGCAAGCATAACAGAAGAGGAGTGAATTATTTTATGGGGAATATGCATGTTGTTCTAGGCTGAGACCAACAGCCAGCCTGCCTCTCACAGTTTACATTTTATGCTGTGACAGACGTCTCCAGAGAGGAAACCACCTCAGCAAAGCCACTTAACACCAGTGCAGGGAGCTCGCCTTTTCAGCCTGAGAGTTCTTTCTGTTGACCCCCCCCCCTGGGGGACAGAGCATCGAATTTGACTGTGTGTGGAGCCCCTTCCCCCAAACCTGTCACATCGTCTCTTCACTGGTGTAGGCTGGCGGCTCTGCTCCGACTTCCTCACTGCGGGTTTGGCTTGGCACCCCTGTAAACCCCCCAGCCGAGGTCACTGCGGGTTTGGCTTGGCACCCCTGTAAACCCCCCAGCCGAGGTCACTGCGGGTTTGGCTTGGCACCCCTGTAAACCCCCCAGCCGAGGTCACTGCGGGTTTGGCTTGGCACCCCTGTAAACCCCCCAGCCGAGGTCACTGCGGGCTCTGGCTTCCGAAAGTCAGCATTGGTGTTTCAGTGCAGAACTCAGCTCTGACCCCCCCGGCATCCACAGGCTGACAACGTGATGCTGAAAGGATGCTGTCAGGGAATGGCACAGGAGTGGGGGGGGGGGCGGCGAACCAGAATGGATTCTGCATTTTATCTTCTTGAACATCAGATCCTTTCTGTCATTTTTCCCATTTATCCAGTTCTCCCAGCTCCCGGGACACACATCACACTGGTTTGATTATGTGTAATAATAGTGTCGGGTCCCCAGGGGATTTAAATACGTCTTGAAATATGTCTTCGATTACAGTGACAACGTCTTAGTGTCACCTCTGTGCGCATATTTATAGGAGAAAGAAGCTGACACTGTGACACAGATGAACTCTCCACAGAGACGTCCCGCATCTAAAATAAGGAGCGGCTGGCGTTGCTGCGGAGGTAAAGAGCGGTGAAGTGGGCCAAGGACTCGTGTGGTATAGCTTCAGTACCGGGGAGAGGCCTGGATCAGCGGGGACCTGTGCGCAATGAGGCTAACTAGAAAGGAAGTCACTGCAAACCAGTGCGAGGACGGGTGTGGAACAGGTGTCGTCATGGGGCCGGAGACACCGAGACCGGCCTGACGGGGGGGCGGGCACAGGAATCAGTATGGGTGCGCTCTGTTAAGAGAGACCCAACTTGAAGCCCCAGTGTGACCTACGTGTGGAGCTGCTGGGATCCAGCCACTCATAAGGGATCTATAGTCGCTCGATAGATCAGCCCTGATGGAGCAAAATATTTCACTGTGGCTCAGCTGGAGCCGTCTGACTTGGCGGGTCAGTGATTTTTTCCGCTGATTATGCCGGCAGGATAGTGATTTTTCCAGCTCACTTTTACTGTAGCAGCTTACAAGGCAGCAGCAGCATGAATCAGGATCGTTATAAATGAAACCTGTTGCCCTAATAACATTTGAATATAAAAAAAACATTTTCTTGCTAATAGGAAGCTGCCAGCGATTATTCGTCCCACGTTTATGCTATTAAATGACAATACTGCCCCCTTGTGTGTATACCAGGAAATGACCACCAGGATTCTGGAGTTGTGTTATTACCAAAAGACAAATGCTGCAGAAGACAAAACCGATCACTATGAGCATCAAAGTAATAAAAATAAGGTTCGCAAAAAATGAAGTTAATGAAATGAGAAGTACTTTATTGATCCCCGGGGGGAATTTTCAGCAAGATATAGTAAGAAATCGTGTGACGGGACCCAGATTCTCAAAAGGTATCATTATGCGACTTGTTAAAACCTTCGCTTTTTTCATACAGAGGTTCCACATCACCGGGGAGCATGTATCTCACCCCTGCCGACAGCACAGTCCAGGGCTGAGGGTTAGGATCTGACCTGTGGCTTTCCGTACCCCTGACTGCAGACTGTCCTGTGGACTAGGTCAGCGACAATGCAACAGTGTACATGTACATAGGACAGACATATCCACCCTGCGAGGTGTTAGTTACCTCACCTAGTGCTTCTTTTGGGGTGGGGTGGGGGGATCAGTGCTCAGCACGGTACCTTCTACCTCTTCTGTGTGTGTGCGGTTTGCATGATCTCTGTTCTGTACAGATCTCCTCCACACACTCTCCTGCAGTCCAGAGACGTGCAAATAGGCTAAATGGCGTCTCTGAATAACCTGTAGTGTTTGGCTGTGTGCGGCCCCCCGGCTAGGGGGAGCCCTTGCTGTCTGCCTTACGCGGCAGGGACAGGCTGGGAGAACCCGGAGTCAGAGTCATCATGAGGCCATATAGCTATGAGGAAAAGAAAACGCTAAACATTTGGACCATTTTTTATTGCCATTTAAATGCAAGATCTAAAGGGACCGATTTACATTGTAACAAACCAAGCAGGCCTACCCGTCATTGCAAAGTGGGGAGCCAACCAGCAGCGAGGGGTAAGAAACCCCCCCCTGAAAACATGCCACATTCCCCAGGCCAGAGAACATCACGGTCAAAGGCAAAGCAGGACAAGCAGGAGGCACACACACACACACACACACAACCGGCCCCCCCAGCACTACTGACAGAAGCATGGGGATGCAGTGCCACAGGAAAGCACTGCCCCCCCTCCCAAAAGGAACACTGATGAGTCACAGGAAACTGACAGGAAAGCAAGTCATTGCCCATCCAAGGAGCAGTCAAACAAGCAAACACATTTCTTAAGAATTAATTCAATGGTTAACTACTCACTCAATGCATTAACAGTAATAATTACAATAACTAGAGTACTAGGCAAACTTATGTCATATAGGCCAGCTCAGAACTAATTGGCCCCATGAGGGAGCAGCACTGGTCCTAAACGAAAAGGCGGGGCTAGAGTGGGGGGGGCCAGATGGCGAACCGTGATTGGCCGATAAGCAGCTCAGGGCCAAGTGGCACGGCGGTTGCCAGGTCAGCCGAGCTGAGGGAGGAATTCCGGGCTACAGGGAGCGGTGAGCATGGAGATGCTTGTTTACCGCACAGCAAATCAAGTGATAAAAGCTACAGAAATGAAAAGGCAGTGTTAAGTAAGGCGTTGCTGGGAGTTAGGGGGGACAGAAATGTCACTATGTACCATACTCACACATACCCTTGTTCGAGCACCAAGACACACCACTGGGGGGCACTTTTCTCAACATCAGAGTAAGAGTAATCCATGAAGATAGAAAGTGCAGGCAGACGTATAGGCGATACAGGTACACCTGTGCAGCACCGTCACCACTGGCCAGGAGGCGCCAGGCCCAGCTCACGTCTTCCCTGTAACAGACGTCGTGTCCCCAGACACTCACACACAGTTCACATTTGTTCATAGTCCCAAACATCTAAGGAAAAATCACATACATGGAGAAGAAAAAAAATCTTCACCCCCCATCTCATAGTAAGTTGAGAAAGGTATGAGAACAAGCATCCAGTCACTGACGACACTCGGGAAGTTACAGCTCATCGTTAGCACACAATGATCTTGGAACTGTCCTCCATGGCGGCCATTTTCGTTCTCGTTTGACACGTGTATTGTAAATGCAGAAACCAAAGACACACAAGCTAATCCAAGGCGGGTGGGGGGTTAGGGTGCAGCAGGGCAAATCAGAACATGGTCAAGTCTGTCCCAGTGCTCAGCTCTTCTGGGAGTCGTGGTCTGCAGTCGCTGTATGCCCAGCCACACTGGAGAGGAACGCAGCCTCAAGAGAGACTCAGAGGCTGACGGTGTAGGAGGCGGTAATGGTCTAAAGATGGCGCGGAGAGCCCCAGCATGGCGGGCACCAGCGGGGCTCTTCGGGGAGTCGCCATTGGAACGTGGTCCGCAGGAACAAACCTAGCAACAGAGGGAACATATAACTAAGAGCAGAGAGAATCCCAGGAGAAACCAAAGCCCAGCCCAGAGTTGCTTGGTGTGAAACAGAAGAGTCAGGCCAGGGAGGAGCACATACACACAGACAGCCCGTCTCCGCACAGGAGGAGCAATCAGGCCAGGGAGGAGCACATACACACAGACAGCCCATCTCCGCACAGGAGGAGCAGTCAGGCCAGGGAGGAGCACATACACACAGACAGCCCGTCTCCGCACAGGGGGATGTTCAGTCTGATGGTGGGAGTGTATTAATGCTAACTGGGCCAGTCAGGCCTCTACTGGAGCAGAGCCCAGACAAGGCACTAGAAGAAACTGCAGTGGCCATCTTACTTGGGGGAGGAGTGTAGTCCGGGGGATGGGGGGGCATGTAGCTGGGGAGCTACTTCTTTCCGGTCAGGTCCTCATCCTTCAAAGTGAACTTCTTCCGCAGTACCTCCGAGATGAGGGAGGCAGAGTCCTCCTCCCTCAGGGAGGTGCAGCCACGGATGTACCTGAGCAGGAGAAGCCAGGAGGACGAAGGAGTGAGGCAGGGGGGGGGGCAGGGCTGTGACGAGTCACGCAGCATTGCGACTAACACACTACTGACCTTTATACTGTTCTATTATTCATGGTGAAATTGTCTTATTCTGGCATTTGGACCATTGGACGTTTCAGCGTGCAGTAAAGCTTCAGCGTGCAGTAAAGCTTCAGCGTGCAGTAAAGCTTCAGCGTGCAGTAAAGCTTCAGCGTGCAGTAAAGCTTCAGCGCGCAGTAAAGCTCATCAGAACATACGCCTGCTGTGACAGGACAGGAGGACGGCACGGATGGGCCAGCAGGGCAGCGGGGCTCACCTCTCTTTGCTCAGCTTCACACGGTTCATGTCCTTGAGCATGTCCATGACATCGGCGAAGCTGGTGGACTTGGACAGCGACACCGTGTCCTCCTCTTGCTCCCGAAAGTCCATGGCTGGCCGGTCCAAGTCGAAAGTGGCCGAGGCGGTCATGGAGACAGGAGGGAGGGGGTCGGGTGCCAGCTCTGACACCTCCCCGTCCTCTTCGTCTTCCTCTTCCTCCTCTTCCTCCTCAGTGACGTCACTGATGACGAACGAGGCAGTAGGTGGCTGATAAGGGGCAGCCTCAAAGGCAGCCATTGAAAAGCTCATGCTGGTGTCGTCCGGGGACAGGAGCTCGGGGGTAAACTCACTGGAACCTGGGCCTGAAACCCAGAACAAAATAGTGAGGGATTAAGGAACACAGCTTAATTCCTGCTTTACTTGCTTTAACCAGTGGCCAAGCTACTTAAAATCAAATCAATTACTCAAGAAATCAGGAGTGGAGGTTTAACTGAAGACCAATAAACTTTAGACCAGGGCTGGTCAATCACATGTGCAAAGGGCCGGTGTGTTTGCAGGTTTTCGGGGTGACCTTCAGGTCAGCTGTTCAAACCCAGGTGTGAGGACTATTCAGCCAATCAGTCCTCTAATTAGTAAAGTTGCAGCAAAAACCCACACAAACAGCAGCCCTTTCTGGATAAGACTGGTCACCCCTGATTCAGACTCTGAAGACACAGGCCCTTAAAAATAATATGGTACCCAATCAAGTCCTTCCTCAGGAAGCCAGCTGACAGGGGCGTTAGTGTGAGCTCAATCGCCCCAAAAGTGGGAAGCCCCGTCCACTCACCCCGCCCTGCTGCCCCACCTGATTCCGCTGCCACGATCTTGGCGATCTGTGCCCGTAGGCGGCTCAGCTCGTCCTGCAGGGCTGTCGTCCGGTTCAGTGCCGTCACACCCGGCTTCTTCAGACCCTCCACCTTCTTTCCCTCGCGCCGGAAGTTTGGCACGGAGGAATTCCTGTGCAGCACCAGCAGGGGGGTGGGGCGCCACTCGTGCCTCAGGGGGCGTGTGTCACTCCTGCGGGTGGGAACAGGAGGGCAAGCGCACATCTTAATGCATCATGTGGAGGGTTTGATGCAGGGTCCCAGCCTGCACCCTCACCAGACAGCTCTCTCACCGCACTCTTGCATATGTCTCCTCCTCGTCTGCAGCAATCCAAGCGATGTCGGCCAGCGTGGGCACCATGGGGCCATCCGTGTGGCGCAGTGGGGGGAGCCCTGGAAGAACCTGCCAAGGAGAGCAAAAAATGGGGTACCTTCATGAATTGTGTGGGGCAGTCTCTCCTTAAACCGCTTTGGGCATTTCATCAGAACAGTCCTTATCTAAAGGTTTGCTCGTTAACGCTGGAAAATGAGATGCAATTTCCTGTAATTAAAATTGGAAAGATTGGAAACGGGATACAGGAATAATTTGTAAGCCAAAAGAGAAGGGATGAAGTAGTTTACCTGAAAACAAGCGCGGGGGCACGGCTTAAGGGGCAAGGTGGAGCCGATCCTCCTGACGACGCTGCGGGTCGATCCGTGCGGCTTATTCTGCCAGATGGGAATGACCTGCGGAGGAACGAGGCGCGTCTATCAGCCTTACAGAAAGATCCGCGTTAGCGGCTGAATGTGCGAGCCCACTTACGGTATCGGTCTCCATCCTGCCGGGCTCCTCAGCCGACGTCCTTCGGCTCTGTCGGACGTGCTCCTTCGGTTAGACAGAGACCAGCATCTAAAACCAGAAAGGAGACGGGACAGGACAGTTAAACTAGCACAGAAAGAAATGCCTCCCCATCTTTTGTGTTTTCACCTGTAATTGCTCAGGACACTGTCCAGATCAAGTGGGTCGTCAGTCACCTTATATTTTAACCTCACGACGTAGTCGGATATCTTTCTGCGATTCCTCAGCTCGGTTTCCCCAATTTGCTCATAAAATATACGATTCAATTATACAATAAAAATTACAATGTCATCATTCTGCAAAGCAAAGTGATTTTTGCAATGTTTGCTTGCGTCGTCGTTCGTTAGATTTAAGCCGTGGTATTTTAAGCAATTATGTAACTTAGACATTAAATGTGGCTATATCAACATGACTCTTACTTATTGTTCATTTAAAACTTTAAACAAGCCCGTCTTAAATTTTTAATTTCGCAGTTGATTATTCTATCGAAAACCGTTAATCGGCTCTATACGGTCACGTTAATTAAGCAGCAATTTGATACCTCCTGGAAAGAGCGATCGAGCCCTATTACAGGAACAGTCCGGCCGAAAATTAGATGTCCCTCGACCATGTACCCCACGATCTCAGCGCGCGAGGTGCCAGCACTTCAGATGACCCCAGGGATGCCGTCGATCAATCCTACCGCATAAAACGACACAAACAAATAGTTCGGCGGTGGGAAAGAAAAAGGATGGCGCTCAACTTACAGCTGTGATGATACAAAGCCTTAGTGAGTTCGCTAGCTCTAGGGTGTTTCTTTTTAATCAGCCGTTCTGCATTTCTGTCCTGGAGCTGTTTTTACCTTTGTAATACAGGCGCTTTCACTAGGCCCTGGAATGAAAAACACTCACTGTACATTCTCACATCTGATTGGACAGTGTTCGGCACTTTCGGGCTAGCAGCCAATGGCGTTTGGGCAGTAGCGGGCGTTGTAAAGCATTTAAAAATGCAGGAGGTAGAGCGACTCTGAGTGCCGCGCTCGTGCTAGCCAGGAGCTCATAATTGTTATACTGCCCCTACTGGCGGTGAAGTACTAGGCGTGCTTCCCTGATTCGAGGTGATGTACTTTTTTGGCTAGTCATGGGCTGCAGCTTCTTTGCGGAATTATCGATTTAAACATTGCTGGGTATACATACTCCTTAAAAATGTGTTCATAAACGTTTTGCTTTAACAGTTTAGGGCACGCTAACCGCCCTCAACTGGTTTGCTGCTCGGTATTTCTGGAATCTGACTGGTTTGTCAGCACTGTATCATCCCAAACAAAACACACCCTACGACATCAAATGCACAAGTTATGTTATCTATAATAGAAAAAAAACTATGACCCAACCCTAGTAAATATTTCCCGATTGCTTTCCCCAATCAAACGCATTCCTTGCAGCCGGATCGCAGCAAACCATCGCAACGGCAGATTAGGTGAGAGGGAACTAGACGTTTCCCGGTGACTGCGCCTTTAAGAAGCGTCCCGTGGGCGTGGCTGGGGCGGGGCTTTGACCTGCTGCGGTGGTCCCGGAAACAAACAGCGCAGCGTGGAAGCGAGCCGAGCGCTCGGTCCGGAGCGCTGCCCAGAGCTGGGTGAGTTCAACCAACACGCCCACCCGCCCGCATTGTCCGCTTGGCTGGAGGACACTGGTGTCTCTTCCCTTTTTCTAAGCTTCATTTAAGGGCAGGGAAAGGACACTATTCCGCCAAAATAATAAAAGGGATTTTTGCGGTTGACAAAGTTATTTGGAATGCTTGCCGTATGACTGAGTTATGTTAGTGCACTTCCAGACGAAACTCCGTTATTTTACTCTAGAGACGGGTGTAATTTCAATGTTAGATAATGTGGCGATTTGCGGCGTTTGTGCTGTTGACGTTTTCTTTGGCAGCCCTCGATGAAATGGGTTATACAGTTGATGACTTTTCACAACAGGAATTGCGAATGCGACACAGGCGGCAGTAATCCCCCGGGCCCGTGAACATAACAGAAATTACATTGTTGCTCTGCTTAATGGGGAATGTTTTAAATAAGCCATTATCTTGAAAGTAGCCCAGTTAAAGTAAATATATTGTGCATAGTTTGGCACGTTTTGAGTCTGCATCTAAATAAGTGAGCCAGACACCAGACGTGGCTGTGCTGAAATATTGAGCATCATCTGCCTACGTGAGCTGCAGACGCGCATCGGACAACCTGTCGATCCCTGTGCTGGATCGCTGAAGTGCGGTGGGTGTCTCAGCTTGTGATCATCACATTGCGCGTAACTGATTATTCATTGGCAGCCTGACGCAGGGACAGTCATGCCAGAGGACACGGACGCCATGTCCTTCACAGGGCTGTGAGGTTGTTCGTTGCCATGCCGGTGCTGAAACGGTTTGCTGGTTTATACAGCTGGGTATTTTGAAGCATTTAATCTGTAGTATTGGGGATCCAGCATGCCCCTAATCATACACCCTTCTCGTGTTCATTACTACGCTATCCCGTTACTGCTGTTATCTGCATGGCTGTATGAAGTTAGCATTGATGCTGCTGTCGTGCTTGTGGTGGGCGAGCCCACGTCTCCTTCCGGGGGGGCCGTGACTGGCTTGATAAACCCAGCCTGCTCAGACCCCTCTGTGTTATTGATTTCCTGAAAGCCTGTGCACAGCTTGTCCACTACGTGTGTGGTTTTTCTACAGCTCAGAATGCTGAATTGGCTCCATCATGGGGCTCAGCCTGCTGTGTGTTGAGGGGGGCTTGAAAAGATTATCTCCTGGTTTCTGAAGGAGCACCTTCTCTGCAGCCCTTCTCTGGGAATGGGCTCCTTCATCAGGCCAAGGAGTGGTGGTGCAGTGTCAGGTGCGGAGGGCCGTGTTCGGCTGCCCGGGGCCTTCAGGCCTCACTGGACTTCCAGCCCCAGGCACGCTGCCCACATGTCCACATCTGCCCCTGGGTTTCTTACAGGTCTGCAGTGCATGATGGGAGCTGAGCGGGGGGGACCCGACCGATGACTGGTCTTGATCGCCACGGTGACCGTCAGACCGAAGGATGGATAGCTTCCTAAACACCTCAGCGCCCCCTTCCTGCCCCTCCACCCGGACCATGGACCAGGGGACGCCAGAGAAGGCGAGAACCAGCTACTTCAGCAATGTCAAAACGAGGTAGTGGAACCTGAGCCGGCCTGCCACCTGCTGCCAGTTAGTGAACACTGCGCACACTCCTAGCCAGTTCCACACCTGCAGACCTACCAGTTGGGGGTGACATTGCTATCTAAGCCATAATGCCACCTTCAGTTAAGAGCAGGAACAGCACTGACCCGCCCTGCTGAAATTCATTCTCAGACTGACTCTTGTTCGTATTACAACTTCTAAATTTAAAGTAGGCCCCGCCTCTAAGCAAGGAGCAGTAGTCAGGTGGACAGGGGGCAATGAGTCAGACCCCCCCCCCCCCCATATGCATTTAACCAGCTATCAAAAGGTAGTTCAGTCCAGTGGAAAATGGATAAAAGATGTGAAAGAGAAGAAATGACATGAAGGAAAAACAAACCGAGGAGAGAGTTTGATATTGGGGAGCACAGCTTAATAATTTAAATAAGAAGGTCTATTTACTGGGGGATGAATGGATGCAAATGAAACATTGGGGGGGGGGGGGGGGTAGACATCTCCCTCAGCTCCTATGCTCCTGAGAAAGTGTCTGACAGCAGCTGTGTCTGCTTGTCATCACCTCCACCTCTGCTCCAGGTTAGCTGGTTTGTTTCTGTCCCTTCCCACCAGGCTGGGATCCAGTCTTCCCACTGATACCCCGCCAGTCGACCTCATTGTGAGCCCCCCGGGGCCCCCAAGAGCCACGGGCCGTGCCCTGGCCCGGCCCCAGCAGCCCCAGGTCCGACACCACGTGCCGCACATCCGGAACCCGCAGCTACGGCAGTACTACCTGAGAGGTGAAGGACCTGTGTAGCACCGTAACCACTGTGTGCCCTTTCTGATCTGACACAGCAGGGGGTGCGGCGAGGAAAGACCGGCCTGAGGCCTGTGTAGCACTGCTGCTCCTTCCCTTAGAGTTCCAGGATTAGCTTTAGCCTAGGGCCTGTCTGGAAGTGTGCGCCCCCTGGTGGTGCCAAGTGGACTGCCTCTCCGTGGCTTTAGCACAGGCAAAATAAGTCCCCTTGTAGTTAATCTGTATTCTGCTAATGCTGAATTTCCCTACTGCTTCCTCATTTGCATTGAAGGAAGAATATTGGACAGATTGTTCACAAGAGCAGATGTTTGCTTTGAATCTTCTGGCCAATGAACTGTCATGCTACATAAGGAAGCAGTACTAGATGTGCTTCACACACACACTCTCTCTCTCACACACACACACACACTCTCTCTCTCTCTCTCTCTCACACACACTCTCTCTCTCACACACACACACACGTACGCCTACACACTTAGTCTCTATTCATGGCAGTTTTTCAGGAGGATGCACCTTCACCTCATTAGCCTGCCTTAGAGTGCTGACAGGGGTAACTCTTTAGCCTAAAGACCCACAGAAACACCCACAGTCTCGTGGAAACTTTTGTTTGGTTGTGCTGATCACTGAGCATCAGGGTTCCTGCTCATGCATCCTCTAACCTCCGTCATATGCTAGAGGGCAAAGGTCAAGGGTGAGCTGCGGTAAGTGACAGCTGGAGAGGGCAGAGGGCGTGACCGCAGATTTGGTGTCTGGTTAGGGGGCGGGGGTGTGTGGAGGGGAGGGGGTGTGTGGAGGGGAGGGGGTGTGTGGAGGGGAGGGGAGGGGAAGGAGGAAGCAGATATAAATGTCAGGGGAAGTTAGAGAGAAGCTGAGGGCTGTTTGTGCACCTTCACCCGTTCAGAGGCATCGTGGGATTCGGACACAGCCAATACGGCGCTGGCAGCCTCCGGAGATCCCGCAGAGAGGAAGGCCGAGGACAGTACGGTGAGCCGAGTTCCCCACAGGCCACATGAACATGCGCGCGCGCACAGACAGACACACACAGACAGACAGACAGACACACACAGACAGACAGACAGACACACACACACAGACAGACAGACACACACACAGACAGACAGACAGACACACACAGACAGACACACACAGACAGACACACACACACAGACAGACAGACACACACAGACAGACAGACACACACAGATAGACAGACACACACAGACAGACAGACACACACAGACAGACAGACAGACACACACAGACAGACAGACAGACACACACACACAGACAGACAGACACACACACACAGACAGACAGACAGACACACACAGACAGACAGACAGACACACACAGACAGACACACACAGACAGACAGACACACACAGACAGACACACACAGATAGACAGACACACAGATAGACAGACACACACAGACAGACAGACACACACAGACAGACAGACACACACAGACAGACAGACAGACACACAGACAGACAGACACAGACAGACACAGACAGACAGACAGACAGACACACACAGACAGACAGACACACACAGACAGACAGACACACACAGATAGACAGACACACACAGATAGACAGACACAGACAGACACACACAGATAGACAGACACAGACAGACACACACACACGCTCACGCACCAAGGTTTCGATAAAGAACGAGCCGGCAAAGCTGCTTGTGAGGGACGTCATACCACATGCAGCAGGTGCCGATAGCAGTGTGCAAAATCGCGGACGGGACGGTGCTGACCTTATGTTTCTTACTATTTTATCAGTGTCTGGGTCTGGGTAAGCCCTTGTGTTGGAAACACACTAACACTTTACTGCCAGTGGGGGAGGCAGATCTAGTGTGGCATGGGCATCTCCCTGGGGAGTCGGAGCTTTCAGGTTGTTTTGTTTCCTGTTATTCTCGGCTGCGGGTTTCGCTTCTGCTTTTGTTCACGACCTGACCCGACCCAGACTGAGCCGCTGGGTGTCGCTGTGCGGGGGGGGAGTCCCCCTTGCAGTCATACTGGGCGCCACCACTGCTCAGGTCGGTGATGAGGGCAGGCGTCCCGCGATCAGGGTCAGGTAGCTGGGGCATTATCAGATTCTCAGCAGCGTCTAGCTGTGGGTTTAAAGCTGCTCGTGGATGCGTGGAGCGTGAGGGGCTCACCTGGCACTGGGAAGATGCTCAGCGTGTAGCTGCGTGTTATGGAGCGTCCGCCGATGAATGTCTGGGCACAGCTGGCGGTGGCCTATGTGACTGCACTCGCCTGCTTAGCCAGGGACTTTTGGCCATGTTCCCTGTCCTCTGCAGTGTGTCACTCTCGCTGTCACCCAGATTAATCAGCTAATAACCCTTAAATGGACCACAAATGATTTCAGTGGCCCCGCTTTCTGCCCTCCACTGCCCCCGCTGGGCGCCGGTGCAGATACACCCTGGTGACGCGGTGTTCAGGGTGGAGGCCCAGCTCAGTGTCCCTCCCCGCCCAGAGCAGGTGAGGGACCCGTGTGCATGCAGCCTGCACCTCCGTCTTTCACTGAGTAAGCGCACTTGGCCTGCACGGCAGACTGCCAGCGCTCGCTAACAGAACGGGCCGGACAGTGTCCAGCGACGTTTTACCGCGCGTTTCCGCACCGCGGCCCCCCCTCGCGGGATCTGGCTGGGGCCGCCATTGCCCACATGCCATGTTTATCCACAGTGCTGCTCCAGCTGAGAGCACATTGCATGTCCACTTTTGTCAGTACTCAGTACTCAGTACTCAGTACAGACTCAATACTGTCACTCAGTTCTCGTAAACATATTGAATTTCCCCCCACATCCTACAAACAGCTGTCTGTTACGCTGGGATGGCGTTGTGCGGGTTGGCATGGCGACTCATGCGTCGAACGCGTGCCGCCTGACTCATCGCCCCATGTCCTCCCTGAGAGGCGGGGTCATAAAAGCGTAGAAATGGATGCTGACATAGATGCTCAATAGACAGGCTGCTCGGAGCCATATGCAGGTTTAGCATCTCACTCGACTTGCTCATCTGCAGGGTTCGCGAGCTCCTGAGACCGAGGCCCCTCCCACGGCAGCGGCGGACGGCACCCCTCCTACCCCCACAGCCCCCACCATGTCAGCTGCTGGCCTGCCTTCTCCGCTGCTGGATGCCGACTACGATAAACTGCTGGTGAGAGCCCCCACGTGGGTGCAGCCGCGGGGGCCACAGAGAGGGGGCGCTTTCTACAGCCGGCCATTTGTCCCCACCCCCATCTTTCTGTCTGTCTCTGTCTTGGGGGTGGGGGCTTCCTGAACCTTTTAAATTTTATTGGTATTTAAAAACACCATTCTGATCGCGGCCGATCTCCGCACCTGAATCCCGCTGCCCCTGCAGGATGTCGAGGCGGTGTCCATGCCCGATGGACGGCTCTGCTTGCTCGCCCTGCCCCCTGAGTGCTCTGTGGGGGGGGGCTCAGCCACCGCCCCTTACCTCAAGCTGTGCTGCCGCTACATCACCGATCGCAAGGTGAGGGTGCTGCCCGGTGGCACGGGGGGTCCTCGTGGGAAACGGTGCTGTGCGTCCCGATGCTGAAGCCCTTTTTTTTTCAGGGTGTGGTGTCGGGGGTCCTCCTGGTGACAGCCAATAAGATCTTCTTTGACCCCTACAAGTCCCACCCCCTGGTGCTGGAGCACGGCTGGGAAGAGTACCTGCTCTCCTGCTCTGTGGACAGCTTGGTGTCCGTGTCCTTCTGCCCCGACATCTCCCACGTGCGCTTCAGTGCCCCCACACAACGGTCAGCATCGCCATGGCGGCAGAATTCCAAAGGCCCGTTTCTCCCTGTGTGGCTGTCTGTCCATCTGCCCGACTCAAAAATACAACGTGACAAATATGACTAATCCAAGGCCGCAGTACGCTTCCTCTCAGCTCTGTACGTCTTATACATATCCACCCTCCCGTCTTGTTGTTACCCACCCCCCCCTTTCCCCCCCCAACCCCCCCCCCCCCCACACTCATATTATGTAGGCCGAAAAGCAGAAGGAAGGAGGCACACCTAAAAATGTCTAGGAGCCTGGGGAAGAGACAACAAGGAGACAGACGAGGGCCAGCAAGCGAACAGAAGGAGGAGATGCTCCTCGCTCGGGCGTCCTCAGCAGCTCAGAGCATAAGCTCCGCCTCTGACATGACCTGTGAACCTGCCCCGGATGGGCAGGGCCTGGGGGACAAAGAACAGGAGAGCCACGACATGGCAGAGGCCAAGAAACAGCTGGGGGGCACTGCGGACGAGCTGGCTGTACAGTGTTCGGGGATGCTGGGCACAGCTGTCCTTAGCAGTGCTGCCACCTTCTGTTGTGGAGGACTTGATGCAGGTGATATAGGCGACACAGAACAGGGCTCCACAAAGCAGTGTACAAGGAAAGGAACGTCAGGTAAGGAGGCTGGCATTTCACCACACGGTTAGCTGGTACCTTCAGTTAGAGCCTCGGTAACATTAACTATGGTTCGTATTATTGGGTCTCTGCAGGGTCCAAAGCCTGCGGGGGCCACGGTGATCTGATGTTCGTCAGGCTGCGGTTCCACCCAACCCAGAGGAAGAAGCGGAACTTGGGCCCATCTAGAGCCCCTACCATGAAGGACGCCTGGTTCACGCTGTCGCAGGAGAGGTGCTGCTCAGGGCTGCCTGCGGAGCTTAGTTTATGTCCTGCCCACATGTGGATGTGAACCCGGCTCTCTGTCCCCCCCCCCCGCAGCTCAGACGACCTCTATGCCTATCTGACCCACTGGAGGCCTGACGTCTGCATCCTGGAGGGGGGGCAGGAAGAGGAGGAGGAAGATGAAGAATTCGTGCTGGTGGACAGCAGGGAGCCGGAGGCGTGCCAGAGCGAGGCCCGGGCTGGAGACGAGTGGGAGGTACGGGGCCTAGCGGATGGCGGTCCTACTCCAGAGGAGCTCGGATCTGCACCGGCAAAGCCGGCCGTGCGCAGCGTCCGCGGTCGGGTGCGAGTAGGGCAGTAAGAGAGCTGGCGGCACTGGTCAGGGTGCGAGTGGCGGCTGCGGTCGGGGTGCGAGCAAGGCCGGAGCTGGACCGTGCTGTACTGTGTTGGCAGATGGTCTGTGTGGATGAGGGAGGGGGCCGGACATCATCGCTGACCCTGGACAGAGAGCCGGAGGGGCTGGCAGACATTGTGCGCCAGAGTGTCATCCTGGGGGAGCACCAGGTCAGAGAGGTGAGTGAGCACGTTCATGCTAGTGACTCGATCCAGACGGGGCCTCTGCACACACCCAAACAAAGTGACACCCAGGCTGTTTTTCCTTGCAGATGTACAGCAGGCTTCCCCCTCGAACTGTGGGCCACGCATGGCAGCTGGCCTACAGCACGTGGCGGCACGGCGCCAGCCTCCGCTCCCTCTACAGGAGGCTGGCTGGAAGCGACTCGCCCGCACTGCTCCTCATCAAGGACTCCCAGAGCCAGGTGAGCTCCGCCCACCACAGCCACCCCACTCCATGCTCACGGTCATGTGACGCCACTCCTGGCGGTCCGCCGTGTCCCAGGTGTTTGGCGCCTTCCTGTCCCACCCCCTGAGGCCCAGCGAGACGTTCTACGGCACCGGGGAAACCTTCCTGTTTACCATGCAGCCGAGCTTCCAGGTCAGTGGGCTTGCAGGGAGAGCCCAGGGCTGCCCCCAGGGCTTGCCGCCGCCCCCAGGGCTTGCCGTCGCCGTCTCCCAAGGGTCTTGTTGCTGTGCCTCACCTCCTTTTCCCGCCAGTGCTTCCGCTGGACTGGTGCCAACTCCTTCTTCATCAAGGGAGACCTGGACTCCTTTGCCGTTGGGGGTGGGAGGTAAGGAAGTGTGGGCTCCCTGTTCTGCCGGAGGTCACGATGCACATAAAGACTTCAGTAGGCACAGCGGCACTGAGGTTGGGGGCCACCTGTTGGCCACAAACAGTCACTACACTAATTATTAAAGGTGCCATAGATTTTTTTTCAAATTGTTCACTGGTGTCTTCACAGAAGGTATGTGAAATAGGTGTGGTTCTACAGGCCCATTTACAACCCTATAATTTGACTCGAGAATAGAACAGGCTGTTTTCCCTTATTTGGTGGGCTCATTAATATGTTGGTGACCTCTGCTCTGATTGGCTGGTTTATAGTGAGGCGATTTGCTGCACGTACCAACCAATTTTCTGCACTTATCTGTAGTCCCACATTGTAGGCACAACATTAGCATAAACATGAGTTTGTTTTCAGCATTGTAACAAGAACATTGAAATTATTTTTTATCTCACTCACCAAATGATTTTACGATGCTTTGTCATGCAAGTTTTAGTACCAACTCCAAGCAGCAAACTGAGCAGCTTGTAAATGTGTTATTTGTGATGAATTTAGAGTATTTTTTAACTGCAGTATTGATTAGATATTTCTTAAGCTAAACAAAAGCCTCTTGGCCGTGTCAGTGTAACAGACTTTGTGATGTTTACTATTCCCCTGCTAAACTGGGGTGTGTTTTCCCAAAAGCATAGCTGCTAGCAAAGTAATTAGCAACTGAACTGTTCCAACTATGCAAATGGGGGGCTTTTGGGAAACATCCCCCCTGATGAGCATCAGCCGTGCCTGTGGACAGTTCGGTTCCTTGGGAAGGGTATGGAATGGGTATGGAAAGTGCCGACAACCCCATCACAACCTCGAACGGCACACGGCACACTTAAGCTTCGTTCCTCACAGTACCTGCACAACTCTGCACAAGTCCGAATGGGGGGCGGCAAAGTTAGTTTTTGATTGGGGCCCCAGAAATATTATCTGTCCCTGGGTATGGACGTCTGGGGTGTATGATACTGCAGGCCGGTGGGTGTTCAGTGTTACGCCTGCTAGAAGCTACACTGAGGTCCTCCGGTACACCAGGGGGCATTGTAGGGGCAGTGTCTAATAGCCGCTCTCTGTCTCCCCCCAGTGGCCATTTTGGCCTGTGGCTGGATGAGACTCTGTACCGCGGGCGCAGCAGTCCCTGTGACACGTTCAACAACCGCTGCCTGTCTGAGACCGACGACTTCCGTGTCCTGGAGCTGGAGGTGTGGAACTTCTGCTGAGTTGGACCCCCAGGGAGGAGGGAACAGTCTCGGAAATGGGACGTTCTTCCCGATGGCTGTGGCAACCCCCCCCCACCGATGGCCCTGTAAATACAGATTCCCGCTCCATTCTGTAACAGACATAAATCACCGGTACGACCTGCACTCGGCACCGCGGGCTCACCCACGCCGCCCACTTAGCGCACCCGGAACACAACCTAGCTGTGACCGTTGTAAAGGACTGCACTGTACAGTTTAACACGATAAGCCTGGAAATACTGTTGCTAGAATAATTTGAATTTGTTTAATTTAAATTAACTCCTCATACTCCAAATACTCAGATGCTCCGGGTGTGATATCGCGACCCCACACCGTACCTCGCCGTCCACCCTGTGAAGAATAAACAAACCTCTGAAGTAAGCCGTATTGTCCGTGCCTTATTATCTGCCCCATTTTAGTACAGAGATCGGTGTGCATTAGCAACTAGCAGCTGGGGCTGGCTGGCAACAGCAGGGCAGTGATGAGAAGAGGCCATTTTAAAAAGGTCTCACTTTATTTAGCCAAATGAGAGAGAACCTTTCTTCAGTGGTATAAGGCAGGAACCGACAGCCTTGTTTCCGTTCTGCTCCTGTGAAGATCAGACGGCCAGCAGAGTCTCCATCAGCCCTGAGCACGTGCAGCTGGTCTGCTGTGAACCAGCTTCAAGCACGGCTTGTTTGCGGGGGACCAAAGCAAAGCCCCCCACCCTCATATCAGTGACACATTCTTGTTTGAATTCCTTGCGGAAGTTGCCATTGCTAATCAAAGTACATGCAGCCATTGCTTTCGTATCCCTGATGTCAGGTGCCCAGATGGCCAACCTTCAGACCAAATGGATCGGTGGGGGGGGGGGGGGTACCACTGTCCTCCAGAGACCAGAGGGCTGATGCTGCTCCTAAGAGTTTCAGCAATGACATCAGGCCTGGCCCCGTCCACTCGGGACTTTCGGATCAGGCCTTCACAAAATGCTGAAAGCCGAGGAAGCAGACGTTCAAGCGCCCCCTGTGCCTCGGAGGACAAATTGCGGCGCTGATGTTCACAGGAAGCCCAGGGAATGTACAGGGTTATCGTACGCCACTAAGAATACAGAATAAAATTTTAAAAATCTTCAGAGTAATAACAGATAGTGCAGCCTTCGCTTATGGCAGAAGGGACAGAATCTCAGTCCATCAAACAGTGTCTTCATAACCAGACCATCAGCATAATACAATCACCCTAAGGAAGAGGGCGGCTCCCACAGTGTGTTACAGGCGAGTAAGAGCTGAGGTCGACGGCGTCGTGTTCAACGTAGGATGAGTAAGGAGCCCTTGACAGGACGGGTATTAAGCAGAAAACGAGGCATAAACTCGATACTGGGCAAAACCCAGCAGCTCCTACAGAAACCGAACAGATAAGGTGAGACTCACTGTGGAGTCAACCAGCAGCCGGAGGGGGGGGAGGGGCTGAGTCAGGCTCCCCATAGTCCTTCCAGAGTTTGGAAAACCTCTGGAAGCCAGGTTGGACCATCGTTATCTCTACAAGTGTGTAGATATGTTCTCTAAAGTATCTTATGACCCTAAGTAATCTTTAGCTTTCTCCAACCCTTCCTGGAGGAACTGGATGTAGGTGGAGGTGGAAGGGTCCTCAAACCCCCCCGAGAAGCTGAAAGTGGTATGTTCCTCCTCCTCTGGCTTCATGGCTGTCTGATCCAGGAAGTAGTTTGCATTAATGTGGTGCACCTGTTAGGGAGAAAAATAATCATCATATTAATCAAAAATGACGGTGTCATGGTAAGGCGGTGTGGGACTTGGAGCACTAAGCACTGCCAAGCCACTCGCCAGGATCAGCCACTCGCCACGGTGCCATTGGGCAGCGCCAGGATCAGCCACTCGCCACGGTGCCATTGGGCAGCGCCAGGATCAGCCACTCGCCACGGTGCCATTGGGCAGCGCCAAGATCAGCCACTCACCACGGTGCCATTGGGCAGTGCCAGGATCATCTCCACGGGGAAGTTGTACTTCTCCAGGTGCAAGGCAGCCAGGCGGCTCAGGGCGGGATTACGGGGGTCAGCCTGTCAGGGGGAAACGATGAAGACGTCATGTCCATGTGATGAAGGCTAATACAGAAAAGGGACTGGAAGGTCATTCGCCAACCCAAGTCGGCTTTTAAATGAGCAAGTGAACGAAACACCCCAGACCGGGGCGGGCGACCCTGATCCGGAGGGCCGGTACCCAGCAGCTTTTCTATCCTTCTAGGATCAGGGCTGCCTGGTCCTGCACTCGACCTTCCTGTTGGGGTCTCCATCCTCTCCATGTGGCCGTGTGCACCCCCATGCGTTCTCCTTGTGAGAAGCACAGGTTCTCTCGTGTGCCGTGGCAAATAGTTCCACAGCTACTAACACAAGGCCACGGTCGCCTTGCTGAGCAGCAGAAAGCCCACCCCCCCGACTAACCTGCAGGTCCTCCAGCTCCTTCACCAGGGACCAGCTGCTGATGAAGCTGTGGTTGAGCAGAGCCAGGACGGGCGAACTTTCCAGGACTGTCTCCCGGAGAGTCCGCCCCGAACCTGCAGAAGGAGGGAGAGGGAGGGAGGAGACCAAACTCAGATGCAGGCTGGAGGTGCACTGTCACTCAGTGCTGTCCACAGAGGCTGCGGATTCACTGGGAGGTGCCATGCATACAGTGGGACCCCAGTATCCGGGGTTTATCGCCGTCCGAAAAACAAAAATTGGTTAATTCCAGAAAAGATTCAAACTGCGCGCTAAGTAAGTTCAGGCTGCAACATGGTGAGATCCAGCAGCCCAGTCGCTAACAGACGTCTCCCTTTGCCTCCAAACCCGTGCTTCACACAGAGCTCTCATTCAGCCTGCCTCTGCCGTTCTCCCCAATCACATTCATTGCCATGTTATTATGGCATGTTATAAAAATGAATAAAAATCATGATTTTCATTGCTCTATAGTCCCTTGAGAATTAGGCTAAAAACTGTCAGAATCCATTTAATTTGAAAGAGAGTACACTACTACAGGGCTATATAATAATGTACAAGGTACTTTATTTTTACTGTATTTATCACGTCTTACTGTGCGTAATTTATCAATTAAACATTACCTGAAAGTCACATTATATATGTTGTCTGAAGATTGTTCCCTATTATCTGCGATTTCAACTTTTAACGGTAGGTCTTCGACGTATCACCCACAGATATGGGGGACTACTGTATATACACACGAACAGCGACTGCGTAAAAATGTAACTTTCCGTTTCACCTCAGCAGGACTGGTCATCCAGAGCCCCCCACAGCAAGATGGAGTGCACCAGCTTCCTCTCCGCCTGGGCCCTGTCGAAGGCCTTGGGGAACGGCAGGTAGGACACCTGCGGCAGAGAGAGCGGTCAGTTCAGCTGGTACAGGAGGGCTGAGAGCTGCAGGCTCCGCTGGACCGGACCGCAGTAGAGACGCACCTTCTTGAAGGGGTAGAAGGTGACTTCCAGGCGCCGAGCCGCCTCCTCACGACTGATCTCCGACTTCCATTGGATCTCCTCAAACACGAACTGGACGGGGTCCCCGTCGGCTCCGCCCACCCTGCTGTCAATCACGTTCCCATGCTCGTCGTGTATGAAAGTGGGGACGGAGGGTCCCGTGGCCTTCAGCTCCATCTGTGGGCGACAGATAGCGAGCGCTCAGCTCCAGACCCATACGGATCCGGTCCCTCTCAGGGTCGGCTCTAGTACCTGCCGCTCCACATTCTCACTCTGCTCACTGTTACCTGCTTAAGTGCTCAGATGAAGGAGCTGGGCTTAAAGGGCGTTAACTCCTTTTAAGATTAATGTGTACCCCTGTAATGCTGGCCAGAAGAAGCAGCTGATAGAGGGAGAGAGGGAGGGAGGGATGAAGCTGTACTGCACTGGGCAAATAAAAAGCCAAATGCCAGAGCGTGGGAGGAAGATGGGAGCCGTACCTGGGGCAGGTAGCCGATGTCGACTTCCATGTTGCTGCTCTCGCTGGCTCCGTACAGCCACTCCATGTCCACGTTCAGCGACCTGAGCAGCAGGCAGGCAGGAAGCCGCGTGGCCATTAACCCGGAAGGTTCTTCTCGCGTCTCATGTGGCGCAAACGGCACAGTGCTGACCTCAGCGGCACCCTACCTGTCACTGGGAACGTAAAGGTGGAACTCACGGACGTGCGAGGCGTCCCGCGAGACCACGATGCTGCCGGTGAACTGGCCTGGCGTGAACCAGAAGGGGTAGTTGGGAATGTCGTTGAGCTGGAACTCGGCGTGAATCCTGCGGAGGAAAGCGGGGCATATCAGAAACGGCCGAGCTGAGGAGGCCGGCGGACAGGGTAGTCTCTCACCGAGTGGTGGGGCTCAGCCAGCGGCGCTGCTGCCCCGATTCTGGCACTGACTGCATTCACTCACCAGTACGCAGGGCTCACAGGGACGTGAGCGTCTTGGCAACAAGCCAGCAGGCCAGCCTGAGCCCAAAGCCCCTCACCTGAAGACGATGTCGTAGTAATAATCACTGGCTGCTCGGATGCAGGCGACTGCGCCTTGAGGGCCAAAGCGAGACTTGATGAAGGGCCGGGGATGGAACATGCTGAGCAGGGAGTGGATAATCACCTGGAGGAGGAAGGATGAGAAAAAGGAAGAGGAGGAGAGGAAGATACATTAGACTCTTTTACTATTAGTTTTGAGCAGCAGGTTTGCACTAGCAAACAGTTCTTAATAGAGGGCAATATTCTTGTCATTCTTGGGCAGGTTGGCGACCAAATAACCTCTAGAGCCAGAAGCCAACAAACAAAGTGAAATTTAGGCTGAAAATTGTTATAAGAATCACACTAATCTGGGATTCACACTTTTTAGTGAAAGCAGTGCAAGGTCCTGCAATCACTGGTACTCCTGGTGCGCAGTGCACTACTGTCCCAGCACCCTCCCTGGTGACGTGGTACCTCTTTGCCCCGCGGGGCTGGAGGCTGGTAGCGGTTGTTGGGCAGGTACCCAGTGAAGATGTTCAGCTCACTGGGGATGATCCACCAGGGATCACCCACGTCCAGCTTGTTCTTGGGAGGCAGGAAGGCCTTGAACTGGCTGGCAGAGAAGACGGAGGAAGGTACAGCAGGGCTCCTCCAGGACCGCAGGCCGCTCAGGGAGCTGTGAGTGACCTGGGGACGCATCCGGCAGTTAGGGGCCCTGCTGGCTGGCGGCTCGGCAGGAGACTGAAGGAAAATCACATCAGATCCAAACAGCGAGATTTCTGCTAAATCCGATCCAGCTGCCTGTGCAGTCGTCCAGACTTTACTGGGCTCCCACTGTAGCTGCGGGCAGCAGACAAATCCACAGAATTTCTGGGGATTCTGCTGACCTTTGGTGGTTTTTCCAGAGACAGAGAAATGCTTGTTTACGCTTTTTTCCATTTCACATCTAAGCCAACAATCCAGTTCATATCGCATCTCCTTCCGCAGACGACTTTGGCATTTATTTGAATCGCGTTTCTTTTAACCCAGTTCTACAGGTAGGAAAAGAGATTTCCTGAGTAAATAAGATCACATTACAAAGGAAGCCACTTCAACCAGAAGACTGTCCAATTAAGTTATTTGGGGGGGGGGGGGGATTTTCTCCCCTGACGGCTTTAGGCGACACCCCCCTCCTTACCCCCAGAAAGCCGTCCTTGCTTTTGGTCATGGTCTCCATCTGCAGGGGCTGCATGCTCGCCTCCACCGTCAGGGTTTCACCATTGGGGTCCTCAACCAGGTCCTCCTCAAACTCCACTGGAGAGGACATACCTAATGGGAGGGGGGAGGGTCGGTCATAGCGTGGGGAAAGGGGTGGGACCTGGGAGAGGCCCAAAGATGTCGGCCAGACCTGTGAGTTTCTCCGCAATGGGCTTAAACTCTTCTGGGCTGAGGTACAAGTCATGGTCCGTGTCCAGTGAGGAGAACAGGAACAACCCTTCAGTGCCCAGGGTTCGAAGACCTGCTTCCTGTTGGGAGACAGATGTGAAGTTCAGTTCACGCTCTTGTGCCATTTGATGACTGGGTTGTGTGTCAAAGTCCTCAGCTGGGTCAGCACTAAACATCGTATTCCAGGTATGTTCTCAAAAGTACTGCACATATCATCCAGCAAGGAACTGCACCACTGTTGCTGTGGTCTAACTTTAGATGGTGTATTGATTTGTGTAATATTTAGTCTTTGTTTTCAGTCAGTCCAATACTCCAGTATAATTGAGAATGTTACCAAATCTTACATCTTAAAGATGGAGACAAATAACAGTTGCCATCCAAAGTAAAACAAGGGGCTTGAATGACATTATCAGCGCGCCATTATTAAAACACGGATTTTCCGCGTTGGTGCCCAGAAGACACCGTTTCTTTGACAGACTTCGTGACTAAGCGCAGCTCCTCAATGGACGATCCGCCGCACAGAGGAAATCCATTGGCAGCTGCAATAAGCCCCCCGCCCACCCCCTACAAAAACAGATGCGTGATGTTAGCGCTAACTTTCTAGCTTCCAGAAGTTAGTACGTGGCACTTTTAAAGCCCAGAGGTAATTAAACAATCCCGAGAACATTCAGGACTTCCAACGTTGACAATCCAGGTCGCACATGAAATGATCAGGAATCCTAACGTATCTCTGCAAACCCCAAAACCTCAAATTACAATACAAGCGGATTTCATGGGGCTGAACAACACGGCAGTAAAAAGAGACAGGAGCAGCGTGCCTCATCCTTTATGCGTTATTAAGCACCTTAATGAGAATAGCGGTCGTATGCATTTCATTAATTCATAACCATTCGCAGATTGGAGGAAGAAAGCATCGCCCAGCGACTTACATGCCGCTGAAGAAGCTGCACCCCTTGGTAGTATCTGTATCCCATGCCGGCGATGGGGACGGCCAGCAGCATCAGTAACGTGGGGAATAGCCTCGAACAGCTGGACGCGGCGGAGCCTCGGCGCGCTCCCACGGCGTCTCCGGCGCTACCTTCTGCCTGGTTGCCGTCCGAGGCCACCTCTCTCTTCGCCGCCTGGCTTCCTCTTTTCCTCACGTCCGCGGCCATCCTGTTACTCTCTTCTGCACATCCACAGACGACCGGGCTCGCAGCTCTGACCTATTTTCAGGCTCGCTTGAACTTGCAGCTCATTTATACTACTCCAACAAAACAAAGCCACCGCATTGGATCCATGCAAACTGCGGCCAGACTCACACCGAGAAAACAGCGGCGACACCGCCTTGGCAGTTTTCCTCCGGCTCGGTCCCCCGGGGGGCATGGAGGGTTGGCTCTTGGCTGCTCTAGCTGCGGCATCTTAAAGGGCCAGCGCACGCATTCCTTCGCTGTTGTCGCCAGACCTTAATTACACTTTACAGGATATTTTTTCCGTATGGCCTTATGAGCGCATTGGCGTGCGTTTTGGCAGATAATTATTACTTTGGCGCATGTAATCAGGTCTATAAAAACTCGCATAAAAATAATTCCATTATGGTGGTTTTATGTTTATAATTGTTACATAAATTGCATGTATTCTTGGGGCTAAAATGCTGTAATCCTGTAAAGTGTCGTATACACATATATTTCGATCAGCCATAGCATTAAAACCACTTGCCGCCAAAACAGCTCTGACCCGTCCAGACATGGTCTCCACGAGACTCTGAAGGTTAATGTATCTGGCAGGAAGAGGTTAGCAGCAGATCCTGTAACTCCTGTAAGTGGTGAGGTGGGACCTCCATGGATTGGACTTGTTTGTCCAGAACATCCCACAGATGCTCGATTGGACATATCTGGGGAATCTGGAAGCCAAGTCTACACTTTGCAATCATTTTCATGTTCCTCAAACCATTCGTGAACAATTTCTGCAGTGTGGCAGGGTGCATTATCCTGCTGAAGAAGGCCACTGCCATTGGGGAATACCGTTGCCATGAAGGGGTGTACTTGGTCTGCCACAATGTTTAGGTAGGTGGTACGTGTCAATGTGACATCCACATGAATGCCAGGACCCAAGGCTTCCCAGCAGACCATTGCCCAGAGCATCACACTGCCTCCGCGGGCTTGCCTTCTTCCCATAATGCATCCTGGTACTATATCATTCCCAGGTAAACAATGCACATGCACTTCGCCATCCACATGATATAAAAGAAAATGTGACTCATCAGAATGGCACTCTGTGTTCTGACACCTTTCAATCATAGCCAGCATTAACTTTTTCAGCAGTTTGTGGTACCGTAGGTCTCCTGTGGGATCAGACCAGAGAGGCCAGCCTTCGCTCCCCATGCACATCAGTCACCCTTGGGCACCCATGACCTCTGGTTCACTGGTTGACCTTCCCCCACAAGACTTACGGTATATCACGGTATTACTTTTGGGAGGAGTGGTATGTACTGTAAATTAATGTGCATAATGGCATACAATCAGTTTATTTTTAATTAGTCAATTTTTTCACAACTTGGCATCAGGGTGTGTTTGATAGAAAATTCACACAATGCAGATAAACCGGTTACATATACCTGATAAGGACAAGTATTCAGATTACAGCCCGCAACACCGGCATGCCACCCAGCCTTATCTTCCACTTTCACATCACCAATAGTAAGCGTTCAGACCTTTATTATGCCTGTAGGCCACTGTACACAGATTATACACAAACCTGTTATATTTACATGCGTGTACATAAATACGCAGACAGCGTTTCTGTCGCACCATAAAAGCCCCCTGGGAGGGATAGAGGGAGCTACCGCCTCCCCCCTTGGTCGCATCACAGGCCCGGAGGGGGCAGAAGCCCGGCCCCCGTGCAGTCAGCTCATCTCCTCCTCCACAGGCTGCGTCTGCACATGCACGCTTTGGGGGGGGACGTAGGAGCCCATTCCTGCTGCCCTCTCAGCCTCCGCCTGGGTGTACGGCTCCACCCGCAGCTCCTTCAGCCTGTGGGGTGGGGGGGTTAATGCACAACACCTCATGACGGTACTCAATTATCAATTTATTTTTACACAGCGTCTTTCACTTGACGAGCTTGGGGCACGAAACGCAGGAAAGAGGAAGAATGCTGGAAAACAACAGCGGAGAGGAACCAAAAACTCCCCAGTAAGGCAAAGAAAAATATCTCTGGACATCTAAGGTGGACTGGCTGCCCACCCCCAGGGGCGTGCTAGAATTATAAAACTTGAAGAACATTAAGTTTAATGAAAAGCAGGGTGTGCTCATCGTAGGAGTCCACGCCTGTGGTGGGCCCCCAGACAGCTCTTTGTAAGCCAGCAGGTCACAGGCCATACTCAAAAGTACTCACAAGTACTCACAGACACTCACTCTTATAAGGCCCAGCAGTCTGTCAGAAAATACACTTAAACGCACTTATCTGTAGATAGAAATGGATATTATGTAAAACTCACCGTTTTTTGTGTACTTTGGTCTTGAAGTGCTCCTTCATGGTTTTCAAATCTACAAAATATCGCCTGCCAATGAAAATCAAGTTTTATTACTAATGTTGTAATTCACAGTGCACCTTCCATGGCATTGTGTCGCACAGATTGAAGACGTCACTATGCAGACGCGCTACTCACGCGCAATGCAGGCAGTAGAACTGAGCGCACCCCGTGACATCATAGTCTGGCTCCTGTTTAAGCAACCTGGCTGCATTGTCAGGTTTCATGTCATCGTGAATCTGATCGAGGTCCTTTGTTCGACGTTTCGTCTTCCACGTCTTGGCAATGTTCTTCTTCTTGTCACTTTTGTGGTTGCCCGTCTGCTTAGATTTCCCCATGACCAATGTCAACTCTACAACAAAACGAATGCACAGACAGCACTTCAAATCGACACGGTTGCTCAACAGAATTCAGATGACTCCTGCAGACTGAACAACGGGCGGATCTATACTTATCGTAGAGTACCCAGTTATACAAGAACATGTGTACTACATATACGCAAACATTTGTTGTGAATTCTCACCATGTGGTATAATCGAGCTAGTAATGTCCAAAACATAAAAAGTCCTTTACTTTGGTCCTCCAAAAATTGTACAATGTAGCGAGGTTGCTAGTTCTTAGCCTTAGATAGCCCACTTAAGCTATACCAAAATTTAACAATATGAATACGCTTCAATTTGCACAGTCCAGTCGACTCTCTACTTTTATCCTTCTCCTTATTATTATAAAAAAAAAGAAAACTTACATTCAGCCCGGTAACGCTACGCCACCACTACTTTTCTGCGCTGTAGATTACGACTTCGCGGAAGACTTCCACACCTCTGCCACTCTGCCATGTGAGCTTCATGACCCTTTTCTTATCGTTTCCGGGTTATTACCCTATATTAAAAACCACCGGCAGGGGGCGCTCGAGTAAAACGACTAGCGGTTAATGAGAAACTGCGCGTCCACATACTAGCTGTTTAGGAAGTGTCAATATACAAAGCAAGGTGTGCAATACTTAGATAGGGATGGGAATATTTTACGCATCACACGTGGGTTTAATATAAACCCAAGATTTGCAAATTGTGTTTTATGAAAAAAAGTTTTTGTACATTTTGTGCAGGCAGTGGCTGGTTTCGGGTGGGCTAAGTTGGGCTCCGGTGCAGCCCCCTTTACGTCGTTCACCAGATACCGATACGTGGCTTTCTGTAATAGTGCGACAATGCATGCCATCGTAACTTTTTAACCATTAACAAATATCAAAACGTATCTGTTTCTGCACTGAAAACCTGCGATTTTTCTGGCACTTGGGGAAATATTACCTTCCCTAGATGAGGCATCCCCTTAAGAAGCCTGGCTGAAGGAGGGGGGGGGGGGTTCCCGGGTTTATCCTCGCTTGGTTGCGCACGCGCTGGCCGAGCCCCCCACCTCCTAAAGTCTTGCTCCCATCACCTCGACACCTGAAGCCCCCCCCAGTCACGTGACGCCGCGAGTGCGTACGCGCAGTGGCTGAGAGCGAAGATGGCGGACGGGGAGGGAGAAGTGAGCCCAGGCTGCAGGGAGCAGCCACTTGGCGTCACGGCCGACGGTCTCGCCACCATGGACGGCTTGCTGGCCACGCTGCAAGGGCTGGAGGCTAAACTCCGGCAAGGGGAAATTTCGGACGATTCATCCGGCCAGTACTGCAGCAGCTTCTGTCAGGTTAGTCCGCGGGGGGACCGCGCATGAAATCGCTGGCCGACCGTGGCCTCGTTGGAATCGGGCACTGGAGAGGGACCGTTCTGGGTCAGCCGGGAACGGGCGCCGCAGGTGACGGCGGGGAGAGTCCGGCCTTTGGGGCTGCTGGCTTGGTGGCGGCGCCCTGAGTTGGCTAACCCGTCGGCTAACGGACTGTGCAACCCGCAGGCCGGAACGCGTCAGTTTGTATGTTTGCAGGACTGAGGAAATCCTGTTTGCAGCTACGGCTTGGGGATGGAAAGGCCGGTTTTTAAAGCCTAGAGACACGAATATGCGTGCTTAGCATTGCAGGCCAGTTAAGGCTTCGTTGATGCATTAAAGTAACTCATTTTCCTGTGCAGCAGGCGGGTGGCTACGTATGACCAACTCCCCGACTAACTAGTGGGTCAGCCCCCGTCACCGGGTTTGTAAATATTGGGTGGCAGTACAGGGGCGGGGCAGCCTGCAGTTAGCGCCAAGTGGCCCCGTTAACAGCCTTCTTTCCGGCATGTTTTGGTTTGGTGTCGCCTAACGGTCCCGCCCGGAGGAGGAGGAGGATGAAGATGGAGAGGAGCATGGGGAGGAAGGCGCGCGGACCTTCTGTCGTTTCCTAGCAGTGGAGCGACCGCGCTCCCGTGCAGAGGCACCGCACGTGTGGGCTGTCACATGCTGAACCTTCTCTGTTTTGTCATATTCAGAGTAAAGATCGGTATAATGGTCGCGATGGTCACTGAAAGACAGTGCAGGGTTTCTCAGCCAGAGATATGGGGACATGGACAGCTGTACTGAGAGCGGTATTCTTACCATGTGGCTCCAATCCTTTATGGGTTAATCCGAGCTGGACATACTAGACTCAGATGACTGCTGATGTTTGCTATTTTTTAATCTGATAAAATGTTTTTACCAAATATGCAATGTAAAATTCCAAAACCCCACATAGTTTTGAAACTCTTAATGTATGTGCTTTATTTTTCGTGCTGTTCTGTACTAATTATTTGACAGGGTGGCTGAGTTTACGGCAGCATTTCCTTTGATAAAGGCCTTTTTATTAATGGTGGCCGTACTTTGTTGAAAGGCATTTTCTTGCTGAATTTGGGTGTCTCCTCTGGGTATTTTCTGTATCTCTTACAGATAAAACACAGACACAACTTGGCAGAGACTCCTCTGCACAGGAAAGTCTTCATCTCCCCCCTTCCACTTTGTACACTGGCTTTACTTTACTATGGAAGGTCAATACTGTCCATGGTTAAACAAAATAACTTTATTGTATCTGAATGTGTAGATTTAGAAAGTAATTCTTTCTGTTCATCTGGCAGTAAGAAATGCAGATGTAGTCACTGAAGCTGATGCGTGATGTTAAGTTTGAGACGGGTGCAGGTGGCAAAACCCGATTCATCGGCATCCGTCTGTGAGGACAGTGAGTTTGTGAGTGTTACTGTATTTTGTTCAGCTGTTATACTAGAATGTCTGCCTGTTTCTGTCAGATACAGAAATGGCCCAATTTAGGAACTGGTGTCTAACAGTGTTACTTCTAGTATTGAAACAAAAAGAGACTCTGGTGGGTCTGTTAGCGCCTTTGGACGAGCGCGGTTGCGTGCACAGACACGTTAGCCGGCCTGCCAGCGGCTTTTGGGTCTGTTCGTTTGTGTGTCTTTGCATTCCTGGTTTTTGGGTTGCTGGAGAGAAGCTCTTTGAGTGTAGATCTGTGAACAATCTTCACGAGCGAGGTGTGTTCACTGTCCTTCATCTGTCACACTCATGTTTTCATTTTATAGCCCTTAAAATATTTCAGATGTACTGGCAGACTAGTGTCTGTACTTGTAAAAACTTTGAAAAAGGTCAAATTTATAAACACTGAATGTATACAAAATATTTTATTTTTTTCCCTCTTCACCAACTGATGAACCGTAAAAATGCTTTAAACGTGACAGAGTGGGGGGGTATTTTTTTGTTCATTTAGGGCGTCGCTGTCCCCATGCCAATACCGCAGGTGTTACCCAGGAAATTAGTAGGGTAGGAGCCTCCCCATGTGGATTTGGGGCCCCTTTTCTGTCTCCCCTTGTTTGGGGTGGGGGGCTAGATACAGGCTTGTTGTTTACTCACAGGTGGGAGTCCCTGCTGGGTTGGGTTAGTCCAGGTCGGCTGCAGTCTAATTCTTTGTGCCGTAAATGCCGTCCTAGCTGAAGGCTCCACATAATCTGAGTTTTACACTGGCTCGGTGGGTCGGGGATTAGCAGGGAACACTAAGCGCACGGCTGCTGGCAGAGAGGAGGAGTCGCGCTTCTCTCGCAGAGCCCGTGAGCGCGTCCTGGGTATTTTACTGTGTTAATGTGCCACCCTCCTTAGTTCATTCCGCTCCCTAAAAAACCCTTTGGTCATTGAGGCTGAACGTGCCGAGTGGTTGTTTCCTGTTTATTACTGGGAGAGAATTAATCTGGGAAATACTGGTCTGCTTTATATTCTCTCAGTATTCTGTACCGTCCACGGCAATACCCCCAAAAGAACCTGCCCTTCAGTGTGCCTTGGTTTGGTGACCTGTGTTATACGTTATTAGCTGGGTGTAGAAGCATCTGCACAGCATGTTTATAGTGGGTTATGTAGCACAGGCGTAAAGCTTAAAGGCACTGAAGCTGGGCTCTTCTGAGGTGAAAGTCGCATCTCTGGGTGCTGGGCTGCCCGCACAGGGCTCCTCTGTTTGGGACATTTTCAGAGAAATGCACTAGTCCACGTTTCAGTGTACAAACGAAAGTGGAGCCCCACACGTCACACGAGGCGTGATTCTGTCATGTGGTGAGTTGTATTAAAGTAAGAAGTTCCTTACTACAAGTGTACGGAGAGGTAGTGAGGAGATGAAAGGAGGGAGGACAGGCTGTTCTCTGCCGGGACGGAAAGGGGATCTTGCAGTAAGACCTTGGGGAGTAGATGGGTGTGATAGACCTCCAGGAGGCAGACTGCTTATTTGTTGAGCTATAGTCTTGCCCCTCGTCTCCTACTGGCTCAAGTCCTGTCCCGTTAAGTTACTGTCAATTGCGTTTGTTGTGTAGTATTAACGATTAGCATCTCCAGAGATTCTCCAGCATCATCCCTCTTATGCATTAAGGCAAACTACAGCTCAGTATTAAGGGCGTGTTCTTGGGCTCCCTGCAGAATTTGCATTGTTTACCAAAAGGGGGGGGTTATGTCATTACTTGGAACTAAGAATCAGAGATTCATTCATGCGTGAAGAAGACAAGAACCTTGCTGCAGTCATACATAAACATTTTCAGACAATGATCAGGCTTTATGTCATGCGTGTGCCTGTGTGTGTCAGCTTTTGCTGTGTGCAGTTGCCGGTCAGCGCGACGTGCTGCATGTGTGCTCTGCACCTAAACAGTTAATGTATTTGGGCTGCAGGAAGGCGCAGCCTGGTTACCCATCATCTTCACTCCAGCTCCCCCCCCCCCCCCCCCCCCCCTTCATTTGGCTAACCCACTCCCCAGAAAAAGGCTCTGCGTCCATATCGACTCCCCTTCAGACTGGTGCATCGTTGCCATGGCAACCGCTCTGGCAGGCATTTGGATCGCCCTGGGTCCTGAGTGGGGGGGGGGGGGTGCACTCCCTCCCCCGTTTGGGCGCCTCTGGCTCTGGGCTCCTGTGCCAAATCGGGCTTCAGTGTCACAGCCTGCCGCACCCTGTCGCAGGGACCCATCAGCGCAGGCACGCGCCCCTCGTGCAGTGGGGTGACGGCGGGCAGGTGTGAGGTCCGGCCGGTGAGGGAACGCGGAGGGTGTGCGATGTGTTGGCGAGCGACATAAGTGTGACAGAAAGTGAGGAAGTTGGGCCAGTATCTGCCCGACGTGCGTTTCTCACACCTAAACAGCTGAAGTTCGCTCACTCTGAGGCGTCCGCCACTTCTGGTCTGTTCATTCACTATTCTCCTTATTATTCTTCCAATGGCAGTGTGCTGCAGTTATCTGTACAGTAACTGTCTGTAACTGTCACATGCCTGGCTGCACAGGTGCCACCACGTGCCCCGTGCCTTTGCGCCATTGGGCTCG